GATGAAGGAGCACTAGGAAACAACTGTCTCTGCCACAATGATTCTGATTAGCTAGCCTTTGGGGACCTGGCTTATGCTTGTATGCCTCCAATAATTAGGAAGCAGTTTTATTTCTTCTTAGTGGCTCTCTTTTAGAAAACGCTCCTTTATCTGATGCTTAAACCTCTCTACAACTCCTACCCACCCACTGGCCAAGTTCTACCACCTTAGGACTACATGCAACAAGACAGAACTTAACTTATTTGAAGTCCCTTATACATCTTCTCTTTGGACCACTTAAGGTCAGCAGTGCTCCCCCTGAGGCCATGTTTTGTGAAAGGTTTCTCAGATCTTACATTAAGAGACTGAGAATTGCCTTGATAGTATTCTCCTGGGCAAAAGGGAGCCATGACACCATCACCCAGGTCAATGGAGTTAATTGGAAGAAAAAACAACTGTCAAGACCTCAATTTAAGTGGCTTCCCTGGTGGCTCAGACAGTAAAGAATATGCCTGCCATGTGGGAGACCTGGGTTCGATCCCTGGGTCGGGAAGATGCCCTGGAGAAGGGAATGGCAACCCACTCCAGTATCTTGCCTGGCGAATCCCAATGACAGAGGAGACTGGCGGGTGGCACCACAAGAGTCCGACAGGACAGTATCTAACACTTTCACTTTCTCCAAAGAGACTTGCTCTTCTACAAAGAGCCCAGAGACACTCCCACCTGTGACCACATTAGCTCTGAAGTCTGAAGGTTTCTAGGTTAATATGAAAGTCAAGTTCAGTTCCCTCACCTCCAGGCTGCGGTTGGGGCTGAGAGCAAAGCCCTTAGGGGATTAAGCTTACTTAACCTCCTGGCACTAACTCCAGTATTTGCCCTGAGGGTTACCCCGGCTTTCTTTCCTATAGCTCTCAGATCCCTAAAGCATTTTATCTTGGTGTCATTTTCTTACCCATTTCGTCAATACCCCTGGGAATTTCCTTCACTTTCTTAGAACCCAAGAATGCATGTTTGTTTCAATGTATCTAGAATCTATTAGAAAAAGTCCTTCAACTGACTAAACTACAGAAGGTGAAGGCAATTCTTTCAATGATTCATCAAACAAGTCTTAGAGACACTACTTTTGCAGACTGGAAGGTGGGCTGGCAGACACTGTACAAGACACTCTCTGCCCTCTCAGAGCTAGCAGATTAGCAGGGAAAGATGCTATTAGGATAGAGGGAGACTAGTGGTACCATGAGGGGAGTGACGGGGGAACTGAGTGGAGAAGCACCTTGAGGGACATCCCAGAAGATAACTTTGAGAGAGTGATGAAAAACTGATTCCAACAGGTGAGTGGTAGGTAGTGAGGCCAAGGTGGGGAGAGGAGATACTGAAGGAGTCAGACTGAAGGCATGGAGAATTGGCAAAGTGAAAGGAACTAGGTTTGCTTTGGGCAGACAGGGTGAAGGATATGGCAGAGTTAGACAAAATACTGGAGATTCATGGAGACTGAATTCTAGACTGAAGGTGAGTGAGGCATGGATAAAATAGCAGGGGTAGGTGTGACAGGATCCAATTAATTTTAGATCACACAGCTGTAGTGTGGCCTAGGCATAGGCATGGGCCAGAGGGAAGACAGGGCTTCCCTGGTGGCTCAGTGGTAAGGATCCGTCTGCCAATGCAGGAGAGGTGGGTTTGATCCCTGGGTCGAGAAGAGCCCCTGGAGAAAGAAATGGCAGCCCACTCCAGTATTCCTACCTGGGAAATCCCATGGACAGAGGAGCCTGGCAGGCCCTGGTCTATGGAGCCGCAAAGAGTTGGTCATGACTTCACTTCAGCTCAGTTGCTCAGTAGTGTCCAACTCTTTGTGACCCCATGAACCGCAGCACGCCAGGCCTCCCTGTCCCTCACCAACTCCCAGAGTTTACCCAAACTCCTGTCCATTGAGTTGGTGATGCCATCCCACCATCTCATCCTCTGTTGTCCCCTTCTCCTCCTGCCCTCAATCTTGTCCAGCATCTTTTCAAATGAGTCAGCTCTTCCCATCAGGTGGCCAAAGTATTGGAGTTTCGGCTTCAACATCAGTCCTTCCAATCAACACTCAGGACTGATCTCCTTTAGGATGGACTGGTTGGATCTCCTTGCAGTTCAAGGGACGCTCAAGAGTCTTCTCCAACACCACAGTTCAAAAGCTTCAATTCTTCAGTGCTCAGCTTTCTTTATAGTCCAACTCTCACATCCACACATGACTACTGGAAAAACCATAGCCTTGACTAGATGGACCTTTGTTGACAAAGTAATGTCTCTGCTTGACTTATGACTAAACAAAGAACAGAGGGAAGACAGGAAGACCTGTTAGGAGAAGATTGTTGTACGAGCTCAGGTAAGAGAAAGGAATGAGAAGTAGGGACCATCTCTATGGCCCTGACTGAGGCTGCACTTACAGGCAGTGGCTGGGCTTCCATAGTCTGCAGTCTCAGGAGGGCAACAGGCCAAGTCCTGCCCTGTCCACCTCAGTGGCCAATAGGCCACTTACATTCCAACCTGGACTGCACCAACTAGCTCTTTGAAACTTGCAAACAAAACCTAGAAATGAACTGCTTTCAAAAATCCCTGGTTACCAGGAAACAGCAGAACAATCTGCAAAGTCCCATCACAGGAAATAAAAAGAACACTTCAGTGAGCGCCAGCATCTTCCCACCAGGATTCCAGCCAGCTGTCATTCATGATGCTTGGCAGAACTGAACAGGCATTAAGAATAGGAGCAGTTTCTTCAGTGCCAGATTAAACGCTTTAATCTTTCTTGTGATGTACTATGAGGCTGCCATTATCACAGGAATTTTCACTAAAAGGTTGAGAGGTTAAGTAATTTGCCTGAGTGAAGTCACTCAGTCACGTCCAACTCTTTGTGACCCCATGGACTGTAGCCTACCAGGCTTCTCCGTCCATGGGATTTTCCAGGCAAGAATATTGAAGTGGGTTGCCATTTCCTTCTCCAGGACATCTTCCTGACCCATGGATTGAACCCGGGTCTCCCACATTGTAGGCAGACACTTTACCATCTGAGCCACCAGGGAAGTCCCCCAAGGTTGAGTCCAAATCTGGGGAACTGGGATTTCCACCCTGGAATACCTGCCTCTTGAAGGTCTGTGTACCATGTTCTGCCTTCGAAATCAGAATGACAGCAGAAAAGTATGCTTATTTCCCCCCACCCTGCAATTTTTATTTGGGAATGCTTTTAGATTTACCAAAAAGTTGCAAGATGACATTTCTGTATATCACTCATTTGGTTTCCTCAAACGTTAGTATCTTACATTTTTAACAATTCACTTGTCAAAGCTACGGAGCACAGGCACATTACTACTGATTGGACTCCAGATTCAGATTTTTTTTGGCTGCACTGGCCTTCACTGGGGTGTGCAGGCTCTTCATTGCAAGGTGTTTGGCCTTCCTGTTGCAGAGCATGGGCTCTAGAGCACATGGGGCTTGTTGCCCTGCAGCATGCAGGATCTTAGTTCCCTGAACCAGGATCAAACCTGCCTCCCCTGCCTCCGAAGGCTAATTCTTAACTACTGGACCACAAGGGAAGTCCCCAGGTTAATACTGTATTAGTTTTTACACTAATGCCCTTTCAGGTCCAGGATCCAATGCCTTGTTATTCCATCTCCTTCAGCTCCTCTGGTCTTGAGCCCTTGTTTAACTTTTGAATTTAAATGTTGATACGTTGTAGAATGCCCTCTAACTAGATTATGGGTTTTCAGAAATTGAAAATTCAGTTGAAGTATTCATCATCTTGTCAAGTCTGAGTACTAGAAACATGATTTATCCAAGTGTTTAGCAATCAGCCAGTTCAACCTTAATAATTCATCTCTCCAAAGTTAACATCTTCCATGTTCTATTCTTTGGAGTGAGTCACTAAGCCTAGCCCACAGGTTAAGTTCACTTACTGGAAGGGGGAGCAACTATTTTTAGTTTTTGTAAGATTTATGCCTTCATCTTAAAATCATCTGTTATCAGCATGGACTCATTTACTCATTTTAAAGAGGATGAAACAGACCAATTTATGGCTAATCCATCACACATGGTAAGTTGGTAGGAGCCATGGCAAGACTCACCTCTCCAGGGCTCTTCCAGGTGGGATGGGAGTTGTGAATAGGTGTATACCTGGGAAATGGCTGCTAAACAGCAATAAAAAGGAATGAAGTACTGAAACATGTCTGCTGGGATGAACCCTGAAAGCATCATGTCATTGTCTTCCCCTGAAGTAGAAGTCAGCATCACAGGGCCCTGGGCTAATCCTCTGCAGAACACTCAGTACCATCTGGTGCCACTGGGTCCTTGGAGTTGGATGCAGGCTTCCGGAAAGCGGAAACTTTTTCATCACTGATGAAAATAGGGCTTGATGTGTATTTGTGGGTGATTGAATCGATGTACTTTATGTACTGATGTGGAACAACCTCCTAGATCTGCCAAGTGAGAAAAAGTAAGATACAAGACAGTGCACTCCCTTTTTTGCACAGAAGGTGTGGGGGGCGAGTACCCACCCACACGTGTTTATATATGGCTGTCTGGAAGGCTCTTCTGCTCAGGCTACACTGGGCTCAACAGTTTCCACTCCACTCCCGCTCTTTAAGAAATGGTCCATTTTTGGAATCAACATCTCCACTTTCAAAACAAGGTCTCCAAGGCCTTGGTCTCTTTAGATGACTGAGACAACTAATGCCACAACCAGCAGTGTCAAGAAGATCCAACCACAGCACCAGAATCTCACCTCTCCTTCTGCTCCTCCTCTCAGGAAACCAGTTCACAGGACACAGGCTCACCCTGTCCCAGGGCAGGGACTGGATCAACACCTCGAGTTCCTCTTTGACAGGTTATAGACATTCTCTGAAGCAATATATCTATTAAATGGCTGCTGGCTTATCAATGCACCCGTGACCTCAAGACAGCCCCATACCCTGGTTAAATAGACAGAAGAAGGAATCAAGTACCCCTGAGCAGTGGCCCCTACATAAAGGAGAGACGACTGGAGTCAAAAACAGCTTCCATCAAAGCAATTTATTAACAGAAAGCAATAATTTGAGGAGTCTTGTTCACAGACGGCGACCACGGCGACCCCCCTTCCTGCGGGTGCTGTCGGAGGGAATGGGGGTGACATCCTCTGTAGGGAGGAAGAGAAAACATCACTGTCTGGAGCTGGATGGGAAGGGGCGCAGGCCGCCCGAGGCCAATGGTCAAACAGGTCAGCAGTGGATCCTATTGCTTCATAAGTAAGTCTTCAGTATGTAGCTGATGGGTGTGGAGCTGCCCCCTCAAAACTTCTCATGTAGTTTGAATTCAATGTCCGTGAAGGGGAAACTGAGGCTCAGAGTAGGCAACTTGAATAGGATGTCAGAGGCAGGTGACAACTTCAGGTTTATGATACCTAGCCCACTGACTCTAGTGGAAAAATCCTCTCAAACTGAAGAATAGCTCCTTTTTAATAGGTAAAAGACGACTGCAAATGTTTTGAAAAAAATCTCGAGAGAGAGATGGACCATCAGGTCAAGGCATCAGTACACGCCGCCAAAGCAGCAGCAGGGAAGGGCCAACATCTCCTTCCTAAGAGCTATAAATGGTCAGATCACAGACACAAGGGTATAAACTCTACGCAAGTATAGAGAACTGCTGTGATTCTTAACCATGGGAGCCACTGCCCCCTCCATATATTTTTGTCACAATGACTGGCCCGCTCTACTAATATGCAATAGTCAGCCCTCCAAAATATCGAATACAAGTCTCTTGAAAACACTAGAAAGGACAATTCATCTCCCATTAGTTCCACCAGCCACCGTCAGGCACAGAAATTCAGAAACGAGACGGTGCTGTTCCAGTGCAAGACATTCAGGTCAAGGTGACATGAGTGTTCAGGTAGAGAGTTTATGTCACTCAGTACCTCTTGCACACCCCATTAACAAATCTAACTGCCAAAAGTTAGCAGACCAGGGCCTGTATCCACTATACAGACCACATGTTTTCTGGGGTCACACTTGAAAGAAAACCAAGCATCAGCCTAAGAGGGGTACTCACCAATCCGCCCAATCTTCATCCCTGAGCGGGCAAGGGCTCTGAGCGCTGACTGGGCCCCTGGTCCAGGAGTCTTGGTCCTAAAAAACAAATATGGAAATTAAGAAAAGCCTTTGGGCAAGTCATTATCTGTTGCATACCTCCCCCGCACCATGGGCCATAGTTTGTATTCTGCTCTGCCTGCAGCCTGTTTAAGGAAGTACCCTCTTCATCAACATGAAGTACCCCGTTTCGTCACATGCTGTGATTCTAAGTCTTTTCGGTGATCTGTCCTTTCCCACCCTCCCAAGAACAATGGATCACTTAACAACTTCCTATCTGGTCTCTGCCCAACACAGCAGCCATCTTTAACAAACCAACCAACCTCAACCTCAACTCATTACTACTAAAAAGTTTTCATGCCCAGATATGTGCTAAGCTCACTTCTACTCCAAGACCTTTTCCTTCCAGTTGTCCCTGGCTGTAATCCTCTCCTCTGTCCTTCCTTCACTGGACCAATTCCTAATATCACAACATTAGATCTTCATTTAAACTTTATTATCAACCCAGCCCCGCCACATTTCTGCTTCCCGATATTTGCTGCAAAAATGAACCATACGCTCCCCTGCTCTAAATTGTTTAAAGCCTGACTCTGCCAGCCTAAGAGCCACAGAGGATGGAAACAATACCTGCTTTCCCCCATCACTCTCTTCTAGTACTTAGATTATAGCACTTCACATACTGTGTATGCTCAATTAACACAGTAAGTTGGGGCAGGGGTGCATGCAGAAACCAATTACAGGCATACCTCATTTAACTGTGCTTCACAAATCATGCCTTTTTAAAAAAGTCCCTTCACTGTCAGATGGTTACATTTTTTTTAAAGCAATAAAGTATTTTTAAGTTAAGGTATGCTGCATTTTTTTAAAAAAAGGACAGGATGCTACTGCACACACAATAGGCTACAGTGTAGTGTAAACTTAACTTTTATACACACTGAGAAAACACTGTTGCTCATTTTTACTGGGATACTGTTTTTATTGTAGTGGTCTGGAACCAAACCCACAGTATCTCTGAGGTATGCCCGTATTAATTACATAGGTACCCATGATTCCTTGCCCAAGCTCAGTGACCTCACTATCCTCCCAGCCTTACCTATTTCCTCCTGTGGCCCGGAGTTTGATGTGGAGGGCAGTGATGCCCAGCTCCTTGCATCTCTGGGCTACATCCTGGGCAGCCAACATGGCAGCATATGGAGAGGACTCATCTCGGTCAGCCTTCACCTTCATCCCACCAGTTACACGGCAGATGGTTTCCCTGGGAACAAAAGCACAGGATCCTTTCTTTCTTACCCATCAAGGATTCAGAGTGCATATCACATCCTAAAGATAAAGAGCACTTCCGCCCAGGAAGGGCAGAGGATGAAGGTCAATCTGAACAAGCATCCTGATCCCACAAGACTTCCCTAGGCTCTGCAGTGATGGTATTCACAGATCCCAGATTAACAATGCATCAACACTTTACTCTTACCTTTAATTTTATTAATCCAGTAGTAGGAGTAGTTTCTCCTCATTTTACATAAGAGGCCCCCAGGCTGTAAAGGCAAAAAATGTACCTCCTTCTCTTAGAACTCCAGCACCTAGATTACAGTATCTGTGCACTAAGCAACCAAGCACATATCCTTATCTGAACATCTTTAACAAAAATTATTTCCAGAGATTCCCCTTAAAGTGCTACTAGGCTCCCCGGTCATTTCTAAGCCCAGCCCTTGCTAACTGGGTCCTGTGCCTCTCCACGGGGGTAACTCACTTGCCAGAAAGATCGGTGACGTGCACAAAAGTGTCGTTGAAGGATGCAAAGATGTGGCACACACCAAATACATTTTCTCCTTCAGCCACCTGAGGGCCGAGGCTGATGACCTGTTCTTCCTTCTTTTCCTTCCCCTTGCGAGGTGCCATTTCTTAACGAGAAGAAAAAAAATTTCAACGTTAACGACAAAAACCCCAAATGTTTACAACTCTGGGAATATTTCCTCCCTGAGAGAGGTGAGCAGGACACTGAAGAGCTCCAGCTCTCCCGCTCTGGGCGGCCAGGAGCAGAAATCAGGGTTCCCAGGTGACTCCCAACCCACCCTGGCAAGACTAGAGTGCACCTCATCTCTGGCTTCAGGGGAAACAGGCACGAGATAGGTGTTCAGCAAACACCGATGTGCAATCCCTACCCTCAATGTCTGGCTCTGAGACCTGCACAGAAACTGCAATGTGCCCGACTTAGCAGTCACTCGGGATTTTGGAAGCACCTAACGCAAGGCCGTTTCTTCTGCATTCCCTTCTTGAATCCTCACTACATCCCCAAGGGATTCATGAGACGATTATTTCTACTTTCCAGATTCGAAAACTTAAAGAGATCAGAGGCCCGGCCTGAGACTGCCCAGGAAAAAAACCGGTTAAGGCGGGCGCTCACATCAGACCAACTTATTACCCGATCCTTCCCAACGACGGTGTGTTGCTGGTTAAGGTAGTTGTGGTCGTGGCGCCGGGCCTACGCGTTCGAGACTAGATCCGAACTCACCCACACTTAACAGGCTTTTTCCTAAACCAAGACCGCCGCCTCCCGAGACAGGGCGCGAAACAGAGTCTGGGTCAGTCCGCCGTGCTCCTCACGCCCTGCACTAGGTTTGTCTTCAGCAGAAAGACCTCAGCCCCAAGCCCTCGGCCCCGATGAGCTCCCGTGCCTCAAGATGCCAGCCGATTTTCCTTGCCCAGTGATCCTACCTGCGCGTCTTCTCCAGACTCCGCCACCGGAAAGAGAGGGTGGAAGAGGGCGGGGCGATGGGTCACGCTCTTGTCCCGGAAGTGCACGTCTGAGGTCACGGGGCGAGGACAGCTCCCGGAAGACGCCGATTTTAGCGTTTCCCAGGAGATTCAAACGCCCTCGAGAACACGGCTTACTGAAGGGAGTGCCTAAGGAGGTAAGGGCCTGGGTATCTTGACGAGCGGTCTGCTTATAAGACTACAGGGAGCAGCCAAACCCAGTGGGTGTGGAAGGCCTGTGTTCTAAGATGGCGGTGACCGCGGCTAGACGAACTTCCACCACCCTGACCCCGGAGCCTGCTTAGCCTGAGGGCGGCAGCTCCCCTGGTGGTGCGGAGGTAAATGACGACAACAGTTGTCTGTAGTCACTGATTCTGCAATCCCTTTGACTCTACCCGTCCAGGTTTGTCTGTCCATGGAATCCTCCAGTCAGGAATGCTGGAGTTGGGTTGCCTGACATTCCCTTCTCCAGGGGATCTTCCTGATCCAGGTATCGATCCCCTGTCTCCTGCATTGCAGGCAGATTCTTTACCGTCTGAGCCACCAGGGAAGCTCTTCCAACTACTGAGTACTTGGCAAAATAAGAATAAATTATTCAATATTTGTCATTGTATACCAGCGTATATTCATATGCATTGCTTCATTTAATCCTCGCCACATTAACAGATAGATATTATTAAATAGATACTGTTTGACTTCTCTTTTAAAGAAAAATTTTTAAAAAACATTTTACTGGAGTATAGATTTTTGGCTTTGGGGGATATAGTTTACACAGTGTTGTGTTAGTTCCAGGTGTCCAGCAAAGTCATTCAGTTATATGTATATTCATCCTTTTCCAAAGTCTCTTCCTCACATAGGTTATCAGAATACTTAGTAGAATTCGCTTTGCTATTCAGTAGGTCCTTGTTGTTTGTTTTTTATTTATCTTATATATAGTAGTGCCTGCGTGCTCTGTCAGTTCAGTCGTGTCCAACTCTTTTGCAACCCCACTGTCCGAAGCTCACCAGGCTTCTCTGTCCATGGTACTTTCCCCTCAAGAATACTTGAATGGGTTGCCATGCCCTCCTTCTATATATAGTGTGTGTACCTTAATCCCCGGCCTCCCCCATCACAACATTTTCCCTTTGGTAACCATAAGTTTGTTTTTCTAAAAAATAATTTTCTTTATTTATTACTTCATTTTTGGCTGCGCTGGGTCTTTGTTGTTTTGTGAGGGCTTTCTCTAGTTTCTGAAGGTGGGGGCCACAGTTCCTCGCAGAGCGTGGGCTCCTCACTGCAGTGACTGCTCTCCTTGAGGAGCACAGGGCTCCGGAGTTGTGCTGCACTGGCTTGCTGGCCCCAAGGAATGTGGAGTCTTCCTGGATCAGGGATAGAACCCGCATCCCCTGCATTGGCAGGTGGATTCCTATCCACTGCACCACCAGGAAGTCCCTATAAGTTGGTTTTTGATATCAGTAAGTCTGTTTCTGTTTTGTAAATAAGTTCATTTGTATCATTTTTTTTTAAAAATTAGGGACTTCCCCCGGTGGTTCAGTGGTTAAGAATCTGCCTTTCAATGCGGGGGATTCAAGTTCCATCCCTTGTGCGGGAACTGAGATCCCACATGTGGCTCGTGACCCAATGAAGTGCCCGCATGCTGCTACTAAGACCTGACACAGCCAAATAAATAAATGTTTTTAAATAAAAGGAGTCATGGCACCTTAAAAAAATTAGATTCCACATATGAATAATATCATATGATATTTGTCTTTGATTTACTTTAGTTCAGTTCAGTCACTCAGTCATGTCTGATTCTTTGTGACCCCATAAACTGAAGCACGCCAGGCCTCCCTGTCCATCACCAACTTCCAGAGTACACCCAAACCCATGTCCATCGAGTCGGTGATGCCATTCAACCGTCTCATCCTCTGTCGTCCCCTTCTCCTCCTGCCCTCAATCTTGCCCAGCATCAGGGTCTTTTCAAATGAGTCAGCTCTTCGCATTAGGTGACCAAAG